TCTGTTAAATATTTAATTTTTCTTAAATAAACCTGCTAGAATTGTTTAAATATTTTGTTGTCATATAAATTGCAATTTAATATGACTGAATGCTGATTTAAATAATAATAAATTGCTAAAATAGCTACTTTAATTAAAGAAATAGAATATTTATTTCTATTTTGCTATTTCAATATTATTATAATTGAAAATCAATTACTCTTATATCAGATATATCCTCTAATTTTCCTTTATAATTTTATTAGCTCAAAATTTCAATAGCATGTATTCATTATTAGTAGAATACTTAGTATTTTTAACTTTTAAATTTCACAAAAGAAATTAACATTTTTTTCAAATTTTCATTTGAAACTGTTATTTTTGCATAGCATATTAAAGATTAATTATAAAAAAATTTACAAGAATTGTTTGAAAAATTAAAAAAAAGTTTATAATAAATAAACTTTATGTCTGCATTAGCCGTACGATAATATAGATATTGACCTGCAAGATTTACATATGATGAATTTTAAGAATTATAACTTGTAGATAGATCATATTGTTATGATAGTTTTGTAGCTTTAATAAAAATCTCAAAAGGATAAATAAAACTAAGACAATTACTCGAAAAATTACAGGTGAGGATTCACAATAATGTCAAAGATTATTCTCAATATAAAAACATAAAGATAACTTAAAGATATTTTAAAGATTATGCTTCAGAGATTCTAAGAAATAGCAAATCAATACAATATCATACAATAAGTTTACTAATAATAATTAAAGAGATTGCAAAGAATGTAAAAGGTTCATGAATAAATTATTAGAGTTTCAAATGAGTTAAGTTAACTCATGAGTCAGATGAGTCAAATCGAGTAACTAATGATAATAAATTCTTATAACATGTGGTGCGCACATGCTATACTTGCTCCAGAAAATATATCCATTGATGACTTAACTATAATTTGTCTTTTTTTATAACTTGGCAACTTTTTTTCCTTTTTAATGTTTTAAATAATTTTAATTAATAAAGCTCGTCGCTCATCTGGTCCTTTTGAATAGTTTAGATATGATCCATATGATAGCTAATTTATATCATGTTTTTAATTGATATCCTATCTTAGACCTTAATTGAACGTTACAAAAATTATAATCCGAGCGACGGTTAAATCTAACTCAGGCCGTCCCAAGAAAGATTTATACAACAATTTACTTAATATGATTCTTTGTGTAGTTAGTTATTAGTCAAGTCTATATGGAGACACGATAAAGGTTTGAAAGTGTAAGGTATCTATTATTTCAAGATTTCGGACGTCTTTTCCTATCATATTCTTTGAATAAAGCGATTTTCGGGGTTATATACAATAAACTATTATAATTATTTTAATATAAATGACAATTTTCAACACTTTCATTATTTTTCCGCAGTTTACTGCGCCATTCGTAAATGCCGATTTCGGGTTTTAATAATACTTATCTTTGTAGATTAGTGAGGTAATGTAGCGGGGGTATCCTTTTTAACTAGAAATGTTCTACTTACGATAGTTTATTTATTTATTTATTTTTTAGAAAGCTAGACTTGAATGAACCGGACTTGAGTCCAATTAAAATCAAATTATTGGTATTTATAGATCTTATAATTTATTTTGATAATTTATTAATTTATGTCGTTATTTGGTGATGATCATGAATAAATATTCATAGAAATTTAATATAGACGTCATATAAAAGGATTAATTGTACTTATTGTTTGCAAACGCTTATATACAATCACTTTTTTGCACTTGTAATAAAAAACTCTTACAATCGTTTCATATTAAAATTGGAATTCCAAATTTTATTCTTTTGTCAGAAATAGGGAAATTTATATCAGAAATTTTTATTAAATTTTTTAAGTATTAAAGCAGTACAAGTATTCTTTTCCTTGCTTAAAGCTCATCATTATAAATCATCACCTATTTATTTTAAAAACTTTTAGTATGTAAATATTACTTTTAAACACCGAAATGTTCAAACATTACTTACCTTATTATTCGGAAGTTACATTTTCGAGATTCATCAGTCCGTTACTATAAACCATAACTTGTATCTTATTTTCATTCTTGATGGGTAGAGATAAAAAAAGTTGTATATTATCGTATCTATTGCAAATAAAAAAATTACGTTAAATGATTCCTGTAATAACCTTTTTATTTTTTTTTAAAAAAAAAAAAAATTTACACGCACGAATTGGAAGACCTCATCAATCTCCATTGAACGAACGCTTCAGCTTTTAAATTATAAATAATCATTCGTTATTGAGAATAAAATCAATTTGTTATAAAAAATTTCAAATTTACAAGAAATGAACCGAGTTTACCTAAACGGATCGGCCTACGCTAATGCAAGCACGTCATGCTTAAATCCATTCAATTGAAATTCTATCTTTTTCAATTTTGAGCACAACATTTCAAAAAACAAAAACCCGATTGTTTGGTTCAGGAAGGTCTTCTTAAAGGATTGTGCAAATAAAGGAACTATTCCATAGAATTCCCAAATAATTTCATGTTTAATGTCGATCATTCAACAGATGCTCCCTCGCTTCGCTTCGCCCCCCTAAAGTAAAAAGCTGATCTTTTAATGCAACAATGATTACAAGTAGTTCATTTCCATTAAACGAATATGAATGGAAGAATTCACGTGGAATGAACAATACAACTAGGACAAAAAAGGTAAGGCACATTAAAATATAATATCGTATAGAGGGAAAAAAATAAACTTACCTTGGAACTTTCCTAATGCGCCGGCATTCACAGATATACCATTGGGACTTATAGTTAAGTAAACCAAGTCCTCAAAATAAATTAATAAATAAATATATTTAATTAATTAAATAAACCAATTATAAAAAAAAAATAATAATTAGTTCTTTATTCGCCATATGTTTCAAGCTAACTCCCTTGATGATTACATAAACTGTTTCGGATTTACGGTGCAAGCTTTAAACAAAGGTGCTGGCGACTAGATATTATAAAAAGTATTATTTGGATTTTAATTACTATAATACAAACGCGAAGAAAAAATATATTTTTACAATCAAATATTTTTTCTACTCATATTTATTTATCATCGATTTTCTTTTTCGTTTTGCTTTTTTTTAAGAAAATATGTAAAGAATTTGTGAGAGAAAATTATGTGAAAACGTTATATTTATCAACCGCGGAATAAGATTTTGTTATAATAGGACATATTTATTATGCGATCTGCAAAATCTGATTCTTTCGTTTATAAACGATTTTAAATGTAAGCAGAAAGTAAAAATGAAGTAATGTTGGCGTTAGATTTATTTAAGAATATTAAATTAATCGGTTTTGCCTCAATGTTTGCGCTCTATACTTTCCTATGTCAATATATTAAACTAAATAAATGCCAATCAAACTCTATTTATTAAAACTGCGTAATTACGAAAAATTGTGTAATAAAATTATAAGAAAAAAATATCGCGAAGGGAATACATGCGTGGAATGTTATAGAAAAAAAAAAAAAATTATTAGGACAGCCTGGCATCCTGCCATTTTGTCAATTCTGACAACTGGCACCTTGACAACCTGGCACTGGTCAAAGGACTAACTGCAAATAGAAAAAATTTTACATACAATGATCCTTTTAATAAAACCTTTAAATCTTTACTTTTTTTTGTTTAATACCCTCAATCATACATGTATATAAAATGATGCTCTGAATTCAGATCAATTAGATTTCTTGATGTTTGGATTAATATCTTCAACTCTCCTCTTTTCATAAAAAAAAAACTTTCCAAATTACTATTGTATCTTTCTTTTATTGCCTTTTGATATCACTGACATATAAGTGAATTACATTCTAACAAGGTGATTTGTTGAAGAAAGTATTGGATGACACAATTATTTGTAAATTATGGCTAAATTTTATTATAATATTAAACAAATTTTTTTATATAATTATGTAATACATTTTACTTTATTATTGTTTACTTTGAATATTGTAATAAATAAATGACATCAAATTGCAGCAAATTTCACATTCTGAGAATTTAATCATTGTTGTTTTAATTCTCTTGCCAAAATACAACAGGAATTAAAAATTACACGCCGACCTTGCAAGGGAAAAACAAAACTCAAGAGGTTTAATTGCCAAAAATATCACGACCATAATTGATGGAATTAGATTTCCAATTTAAGTAATCGTAGTAAGAATTCAAGTTCTGCGATTAATATCAATACAAATACTATTCATATATAAATTTATTTGTAAATATAAAAAAAAGTGCAGCTGTTGGAAGATAAAGGATCTGACCAGCCATTACAAGAGAATTGGCTTAAACATGTATTCTTTAGCACTTTGAGAAATTTTCATTATCCCAACAGAAAAAATTCCACGTAATTCATTGGAATAATTAATTAATAAATCTCATTTACCATAAAAAAAAAATCGTGGCTTTTAAAAGAAGTTGCTTTGGTTTAGATAGAACACGATATTCATTGTCACGCATCTATGAATACATAAGGAAAAGTTCGGAGCAGTCGAAAAACATAAAAAAATGAAAAATAAAAGAATTAAAATGAAAGCTTTTACTACTTTTTTTTAATCAACATACCATTAATTTCAATTCCATTAATTCAACCTATAAATTCTCTGCAGTATCTCGTATAGAATTTTTTTCATTTTCCAATTTTTGATTGGTTTTTTCTAATCTTCGGTTCGCATTTTCGCAACAATCAATTTCATCTGTTTGAGTTCCGACTAACAATGAATAATAAATTTAGCTAATAAAAAGTGACGTCATTTTCAAATATCAACTATAAGGTTCTCAGAATCACAACATCCATATAATGACATTAAATAATAATAATAAAATTGAGTAACACTCACTCTCACGAAACTCTTTTCTGTTTTCTTCCCTTCTTAGTCTTTTTTGTTCCTTTTCTTTACGTTTATTGAAAATTTGTCTTTTTGGGGCAGCTGATCTAGATTTTCGAATCATTTAATATATATGAATAATTTTTTTTTTTAAAAAAAAAATTTCATCAAGATGGTAAAAAAGGAAGTCGTATAAAACGTAGAAAACTTAAGAAATTAACCTTTATATTGTTGTTTTTATTGAGTAATAATGATGTAATGTCGACGCCAAATTTATTTATAATATCAAATTAATCATTGTTGCCTCAACGTCGGCGTTCTACACTTTGCAATGTCAATATATTAAACTAAAAAAATGCCATTCAATAAATTCTATTTAATTAAACTGCGCTATTACGAAAATTGGTGTAATTGGAAATTAAAAAAATAAACGAAAGTTACAAATATAAAAATTAAAATGTTAAAAACGGCGAAAGCGAAAAATTGCGAAGGGATTAAGGAAGGTTTTTAAGGTGTATACATGCAAATATAAGAAGGGCGAGCGTGAAATGTTGAGTTGTTTAAGGATTTTCCGGCTTGTATTTATAAAAAAAAAAAAAATAATAATCATTAGGACAGCCCTGACAGCCTGTCAAAATGATCTTCAGAGGGCTAACTGTAAATATCGAAAATAATTTACATTCAAAATTATGGAGTAGAGTTTCTCGGGCGAAGTTATATTCAATGTAACAATTTAAAAGATTTAGAATGCATAACGACGTAAGATCTAATCTCATTAAAAAAAAATTAAATCGATTTGAATAATTCGTAGCTAATGATTCAAAAAAAAAAAAAAAAACTTTAAAATTAAAAAAAAATTTTTTTAATAAAAAAGGAATGACAACGCGAAATAATTTAATTTAATAACAACAGAATAAAAAATAATTAATTAAAAATAATTTAATCTATTATTTTTGGAAATTAAGACATTCTTATTATTTCTTACGAGTAATAAGAATTTCAAACTTTTTTACCGGACGAAATTAGATAAACGCGGAAAATCAGATTTCTATTTAAGGACGATCTGCCACGGCAGATTTTACCAATCCAACGTATAGATAGCACTGTTTTTTTTTTGAAATTAATTCACAGAGAAAAATAAATAATTAACATGTTTTAAATAATTTCAAAAAATTTGACCCGATTTAAATCGGTGCGATCGTTGACCGAGTGTTCGGCCCGAATCGAAACCGGTTTAAAGAACCGATTCAATTTTCAATTTACAATTTTAGATATATGCATAATCGAAATATTTATTAAATTTATTATTTAAAAGTAAAAATATCATTTCCTATTACAATTTAATTATCTAACGGAGGAAATATATCAAAATGAACACCATTACTTTTCAAGAATAGCATCTTATTCACCAAGTTTGGAGAGAGTCGAGTTCGTTTAGCAGATATTTAATAACTGCGTCTGAGAATAATCGTTCATTAGAAACTGATGTTGCAGGAATTGATAAATACTTTCGTCAAAATTCCCCACCATTTTCACTTAATCCAATTTTACTACAAATTTATTGTTCCTGCAAAATTGGTTCCATAAATTTTGCAATAAGCAATGTTAGTATTTCTTTTTCGATCCGAAAGAAAAATGCTGTGTAACTGACTAGTTCTAATTAAGGATGAACGAAATCCTAATACTTTCTGTGCTTGTGGTATCGGTAGTTGTAAGATCTGTAATTGTTTCTGTTTCTGAAGAAGTAGATAGGTTCGCCATAATGAAAAATAAAACATGCACAAAAAGAGTGCAAAAAGAAAGAGTGAATATATGGGAAATCTCGTTCGAGAAACTAAATATGGATTTTTTTATAACAAATTATTTTTGGTAAATCGAAAACCGAGATCTTCAAGCTCTAAAATTTGGAACCGGATTTACTCAAAACCGGTTAGACCCGAATTTATAACCGGTTTCCAATCTCTACATGTTTCAAACGGGAGTGACATTTTTAATGAGCTATTTAGAACGCTCCGTGCTCGATAATAAAATACTCTCAAAAGTATCCATCTAAAAAGTATAAATGTAATAAGATATTTTAATGTCGCAAATATGTAAGCAAATTTTAACTGCGAGTAATTGTTGTGTAACCTCATCCGCCTTATGTTGCTTTGTCAACGGGTTAGCAACTATTATATATATTCATTAGAAAATATGAGCTGTGTAGTTTGTTATCACATTGATAACCTATGTAAAGTTACGAGGAAAGTTGAAAGAAAGTGAATGATACCAAAGTTAAATAAATGAAAAACATAAATGATTTTTCAACTTCCATAGCTGATAAATCTAAAACACTCAATCAACGTGTATAAAAAAGTGTCAAGGATGAATAAAAAATTATATTGAGCTCAGTATATTCTGCGGCTATCACTGGTTTGATATTTTATTGTAGAAAAAAATTAAAAAAAAAGTATATTCTAATCTATTTCACAATAGAAAATGTTAAGTTAAATAAAAAAATTGAACAGAATTTGGTCAAAGGTCTCCTTTAATATGAAAAAAAAAATCTTCCGGTGTGGAATTCGTTTCAAAAAGTTATTTTCGTAATGGAAATCGCTTTCGGAACGTTTCTCATGATTGGAATTGTCTCCGGATATATAATAATTTTTTGTATCAGTTCCTACCTTAAAAATTAAAATTTTAATTTTGTTATCCAAACATTGACGCCAATTTACGCCAAGTGATCAACATGGTGAAACAAAAAAGCATATAATAATTAAGAAATTCTCATGGTTTTCCCTTACTTTTGTCCCTTTCTTTCAAAAAACCATGGCTTGTTATAAATTATTTAACGGAGATTTACCCGAGTTAACTTATTATATAGTACAATATTTACGAGATGAACCAAAATCATTATATTCATGCGCACTAATTAATCGACATTTATGTCGAATTACGATCCCAATGATTTGGGAAGATCCTTTTTCCGTCAGGTTCAAATCGTGGGGAGGACCTTATGGTTTTATGGATCTTTTTTCATATTTTCTTGGTGATGACGATAAAGAAAATTTTAGAGATTTTGGAATTGTTATCAAGTCAAATGAACTAACACCTTTATTTAAGTATCCCACTTTCATCAAAACATTGGTATTATCACATTTAGAATTGCACCTGAATAATTGGATTCGTCACCGTACACAACCTCGTGATTCCTACAACACCGAATATAGTAACAAAGTCAAAGGATTTGTCTGCCTGACCTATATTAAATTATTCGTAGAAAGTGATGCTACTTTAAGTAGATTAAGTATGAAAAGCAGCGTTTCTTATGACAAATTTTTACCCGAATTGTTTGAAATCATTTTCCATAGTACAAAATTCATATCAAATATTAAGAGGCTTAACATTGCCTTAAGTGAAACTGATCGTTCGAACATTCAAGAATTCGTGCTGACTTTATCAACATTAGCACCTTACATTGAACAGGTTGAATTTTCTGATTTTAACGGGAATCTACCGGCTGTTATCACACCACAAAAACAACTTTCATCTTTAACCCTTAAAGAAATACAGATGGACGATCAAATATTGGATGCCATTGAGCAATGTTTTAGAACTTTAAATTCAATCAAGTTTATGAACTGTGAATTTAAACAGGTGACATCATTTGATGCGCTAAACTCTTTCACCAACTTACATCACCTCTTATTCCAACATAGTGATGGATTAAAGAATCAAATGTTTCAACCGTTAATTGATAACCCCACTTCATTAAAAGTTAGATCCTTGAGATTAGTTGGAAAACTCACGGAATATTCCTCTTTATTACAAAAGATTGGTCCTCATGTGGAGAATTTGGTCATCAAATTATCATTTTCCCATCATGAAAGTAATGCTTTTGATAGTGTTATCAAGTACTGTACAAAGGTCAAATTCCTTCAAATATCTAGTATTGATGCTTTAGATATCCCTCAAATATGTGAGTTGATCACTAGCATCGGCGCTCATCTCGAATACCTTTCCCTTAAAATTTTATTTGCATTAAATATACCTTGTATATTGATCAGTTCAAAACTTCTGAATGAGTTGGGTCCCGTGTTATCAAAACACTCGAGTTCATTAAAATATTTGAACTTGTTCCTTTCAATCCATCCGATCTCCATGAGAAAATTTCTTGATCACGTGCAACATATCGATCTGAAAAAGTTATTAATTAGGAATTGTCATTACGAAGATGTCGATGTCGCTTTTGACGTTTTGAAAGAGTTTTCAGAGGAGCAAGTTATAGACGATTTTGTATATGAGATTGTTGATTATTTTTGCATTCACACCAAAGTGAGGAACTACATCGATGAAGTTCAAAAGAACAAATATCCAGATTTGGTCTTACGTATTCCGGATTTTGAGTGATTAATTCATTTTTGATGAAAGGTTATAAAAGATTAAAATATAAGGTAGGAAATTATAATATAAATGGGATAAAGAAATTATTTTACGATTACTCATTTTTTAATTCTTTTTATCTTGTAAAATATGTACATAATATAAAATATTTTTAATAAACGTATTTTTAATTCAAAAGTTCGAAAATATCTATTTATTCTTGTTGAATTATATAATGACGGAGAAAACGCGGCGTATACTGTTCCTAATTTTATTACGATTTTTGGATTTATCAAACTGAAATTTTTTATGAAAAATAAACGTCAGAATAAAACGTATGATAGTGGTGCTTCAAAAATGTACTTTCTGAAACTTAATTCGGCTTCGGAAACTTAAAAATTTTTTAACATTGATAGGAGCCGCAGCGAACAACCGATTTTTTTTTCGATATTTTTTTATTTTTATTTTTTTTATCGAACTTTTTTGTTTCGGTTTCTTTTGATTTTTTCTAAACTTTTTTTTTTATTTATAGTTTGATTTTTGGATTTTTTTATTTTATTTTATTAAATTTATTATTAGATTTTTCCTTCTCTTTCGAAGTTGGGTTGCGTCAGTTAAGTTATAGGTATTTGTTTCCTTATTTTTTATTTTATATTAAAAACAATTAAAAAAATCAAAATTTTTTTTTTCAGATTCGATCGTTTTTAATCTACTGAACCGACTGATATTCGGATTTAAATCCGGATCCGATTTTTAAAATTAAATAAATCGGATATATAAAAATAAATCTCCACTAGTTAACGTTTATTTTGTAGCAATTGTTTATATAAAAAGGATTGTAATACGCAAATTAAATTACATGCATTTGTGTTTGTGATACGAATTAGCCAAATTAAAGATGTTTTTTTTCGATAATTGTAAAATTTTTAAAAAAAAAAAAAAAAAAAATAAAAAAAAATTTACAATTAATTACATTATGACTTTCAAAAGATATAAATTGCTCTACTTATGCATATTTTTCATATTAAGCCATTGGTTTGTTATAATTGAGTCATTTATTCCTGTAGGACGTTATGCTCATTCATCTGTCCTTGCTGGAGAAAAACTTTATTTTTTTGGAGGGATGAACGATGATTATAAATGCCTAAATGAACTATTCTACCTTGATGTTTCTCGTCCATTTAGTTCGGCGGTCCCGCCATGGGTTGACCTTACACAAAATGCCGGAATACCATTCAAAAGTTGTTGGGCTACCGTTTCATTAAATGACAAGGAACAAAATATTTATTTATTTGGTGGATATATGCTTAACGATACAAATCAGGATGCTTTTGTATCGAGTGTTCATTCATTTGATTTAAACGCTGTGAGATGGAATATACCTAATATCAGAGGAATTTTGCCTAAAAGACGCAGAAAGATAAAGAGTATCATTGATGATAATACTGGAAAAATATATATTTTTGGAGGAGATGATCTATATAAAAATCCATTAACGCTTCTTAATGACATGGTCATTTTGAATACTGTTGAATCTTCATGGTTAAATAATCCTCCAGTTAATTCACCAAGCGCACGATCTGGTTATACTGCAACTCTTTTAACAAATGGAATTATTGCATATATTGGTGGTGTGGAAATGATTGAAGTTAATAAAACACGATTAGTTGATATTAATCAAATTTATCTTTATGATACAAAATCCTTAACTTGGTCAGTGAAGGTAGGTATTAGTAATATTTTTTATGGTCATACCCACAATATGGAAGTTATTAGATGTAATACAGCAATCGCTGATCGCGATGCTTGCATTAAAATATTTTGAGTGATAAAAATTTACTATATTTATTTACGTATAGATAGCGAAACCTTCAAATATGATTGAAAATCGTAGGGGACATACGGCTGTATTAAGTATGAGATTAAACTTATAGTTATTGATAAAATTTTAAAACATTATTAATTTATTTTTTTTTTTTAATTAAAATAGCTTCAAATGATGAAATCATAATTTATGGAGGTTCTGGAGGTGGTGGCGATTGGAGAGTTATTCCAGATTTATTCGTTTTAAATACAAATACCGAACAATTTGAATTCACCATACCACCAGTTACATCTAAAATTGGTCAAGTTCCATCAATTACGATACATACAGCTGATTTGGTTGTAAATTATATGATTGTAGCATTTGGTAAGCAAAAATTATTTGCAATCGTCTTATTGAAATAATTTAACCTTTAATTTATTATATTACAAATTAATATGATAGGAAATATTACACAACCAAATTCTAGTCCATTATCATTAAGGAATCCTAATATTTACATAATGGATATTAGAAATTATACATGGGTTGATTCATTCGATCCGACAATCATGGGAACAAAAACCAATTCTTCAGCAATACAACCATCTTCTTTAATCAACAATCTTAATAAGGAATTAGTTACAATGAAGATCGTAATCGGGTCGTTTGGAGCAATTTTATGCGTCGTTATAATCATTGTTTGTGGATTTTTAATTTATAGATGGAATGCAAAAAAGAAAGAACAATCACCTACTAATATTCCTACTGCTCCTGTCACAAGCATTGAACACAATGATCAAGATGATAAAGAACAATATTTATCCGAAGTAATGATATGATAGATTCTTTATTATTCGTCGTCTTAACTGCTGACACAAAACTTCATATTTGAATGGTCATCAATATACATAACTTTTATGATTCCTTTTTAATAATTAGTTTTTTAAAAATCTTAATATAATGATACATTAAAAGAAACATTTCAATTGTTATTAAAAAATAGTTTGTTAGTAGTTTATTGTACGAAAATTAAGGTCATATTGTACATTAAGTGAATTTTAGAGATCATAAATTTTATGGTTAATTTAATAAAACCTTATTATATATTTGTATAAATTAGTATAATGCACAGTAATAATAATCTAGCTTAACTTGAAAATGTGCAGCGCATTAAAATATCAGCACCATGAAATAAAATATGAAGTTTCCTAATTAAAACAATTACAAGTACACAAATTTTATAAAATTATTCTATTAGTCCACATTTTATAACTACCCTTAATTTAATTAGAATACGAAACAGTAATTAATACTTTATTCCATAATGAGCCGGCAAGCTCGTAAATAAAATTGTGATCAAGCATTATTGCTACCGTTCACGCATGTGTATGACTAGCATTATTATTATCACGCAAAAATATAAATTTGTGGGCGAAAAGATATTAGCAAATTTCTTTTATCAATATTTAGACTTCAACACTTAGTCTATGAATCTAGCAGGGATCAATTTACCGTAGAAATCATAGAAATCGAATAACGGATCTATTTAATATAGGTTAAAAACATCATTTTTCGAGAACAAGACAGCTTTTAATTTCTTGGGTTTGACTAGATAAAGCAAACCTTTATACATTTTTTGATGCATGGCTTATATTCTTCGATAATTAAATAATCAACAATAAAAAGCATTTCTTTTGTTTTTTTTTTTTTAAAAAAAAAGCGGATTTCTGTATTTAAATATTAAATATTTATTTGAGGTAAACAAATAAGGAATTCTTCATTGTTTTATTTTTATTTTTATTTTCGGCAAATTGAAATTTAAGCTGCTGAATTTGATATTTTAATAGTCAAATAAATTATAATTAATCTTTAGAAAAATACGACCAAATTCTGCTATGTTTTAGTTTTTAATAATGCCTAATAAAATTTATGCATATTAAATATGTTGTGAATTTTGAACAGCTTCTATATAGACACTATGAAAGTTTTAAATTTATCACAAATTTTCTAACTTTATAAATTATTAATAAACATCTTATTATATTCTTGCGTTGTAATTAATTTTACTTAAGAAAAAATGGTGTATTTATCAACTTTAACCTTGGCATCTAATTTATTGCAAAATGATGGAGGTTATTTATACTTTATTTTGGGACGGTTATAGTCTTAGCGAATTTATTTTATGTTGGTGAAATTAGACATTTCAGATGTAGGTAAGGCGAATTTTCCTTTGTTATCTTTCGAGTTCGATCGCTTTGGACTCGAGCGATAATTCATTTTTCTTTTAGATTCCTTTTCAGCTTGAATCACTTGAAGTATTAGATATCGGGGATGGTTGCCACCCTTTACTTGTGTTAATACAACTAAATTAAACAATATTTTTTAAATTTTTTTTTTATTAGCATAACACTGATTGATATAATCATTTCATTCAATTTTGTCGCGTTACATTATTGGAATATTTTATTATTATTATTTTCTATTTTTTAAAACAGAAAGTCAAATTTAATCTAAAAAAGGGAAAATTAAATGTCAAGAATTAAAAAGCATAAAAGTTGAAACTTGGCTGTATTTTAATGAAATTATTGACAAACAAGAGCAATCAAAATTAAATAGTATTTTAGATTTATGTACAGTACATAGTGACACTTCAAAATTTTTTTTTTTAGTTTTATTTGCAATGAAAATTTGTAAAATAAATATATATATTACTATTTTGGTATTTGTAAAATAAAATAATATTTCGCATCTCCAATGATATTAATAATATTTTTTTAAAAAAATATTTACAAATAATGCTTGAAACGTTTCCAGATTTTTTTTTATTATTACGAAAATGGGAATGAAGAAATTTCTTGTGAAAATTACTTTCGAAAACATTTACATTATTAAGTTTATATTTATTATTATGTATTTCAATTCAACATCTCTAAAATTGGTCATAAAATTTACGATATCGGTTGATGACTTTTTTCCTTATTTTTTTTTTTTTTTAATGGCAGACCTTATTTGTCAAATTTAAGGACCGCTGAAAACAAATAATCATTTGTGATTTTTATCATAGTTCATTAGTTATAACTTTCATTCAATTTGTGTGTTAAAAGTGATCATGAGTTTACCTTAAATTACAAAGTATCACGTGAACACCACAAAAGACAGTAAGTCAGCAAGAAAATGGTCAGTAGAAAATGAAATTTAGCAAGAAACAGTCCAATAATTGTGAAATTTACTTGATGATAATGTATTAATTATTACATATTTATTATCATTTAAAAAAATAGATCAGGTAAAAGAAAAATTAATAAAATATTATTCACTCTTACGATGAATAAAAATTTGAAAAAAATGAATGATAAAAATTACGACAACTAATTATTATGGGCAGCTTAGTTGGACCGATTTAGCTTTAACGAAAGG